CTGCAAAATAGCTGCAGTTTCTGTGTCCAGAGCCAGGCTGAGCCTAGAGGTGATGCAGGTACTTAATTAGGAGGATTGCTTAAATACCTTCCCTATAGCCACCTCACTGTGCATGGCCAGATCAGAGGGAGGTGAAACCGGGAGGGGCTGTGAACTCTGCAGAGCATTGCAAAACGAGCTGGTGAGAAAAAAACGGGAAGGATCTTGTGGAGTGAGAGATTCAGCCAGGAGGGTGGGAAATGTGATTTGCATTTGGTAACTACAAACACACATAGCCTGGGGTAGAGGAGAGGAGCCACAATAGCTAGGAATGCCCTGTGGAGATGTCGTGATCCCCTCCTAGAGAGGTCCCATTTGAATTTCTGCCTGGGAAAACGCAGGGGCAAGTGCTGAATATGCAGAGTCCTCTCCTCCTCTCACTCCTTGCATCTTGACTGCAAGCCCAACAGGGAAGAGCTGGGAAAGGACTGGAGGGGTCAATCAGCAGTGAGGACCTTAGGCTCCGTTTGTGTCCTGCGGGAAATCGGAAAGCACTGTAATTAGTCGAAGGGTGCAAAGGGTCAGGCTGGCAGGAAGGAGGATGGTGGGGAGGTGACAGTTAAGTGGCAATGCTCTGAGTGGGAGGCGTTGTAATCTCGGCCCACACCTGGACTTACCAGGCTTGTGAGATCTGCTGGACTGGAAGAGTTTCCCATGGACCGAGAGCCAGAGCAAGGCTGTCGGGCATCAGATGATGGATCCTGAGGGAAGAAACCCTGTGCTTGGTCCCAGGGGTTGAGGGGATCCATCTGACTGGATGCACTTTCTCTCTCTAACCCTGCTTGGGCAGAAAAGCCAGCAGGAGGGTGCCGGGGGAACATGGAGCCCCTTCACCCCACCCGGGCTAGCGCAAGCACCCTCTGAGGTAAAAGACGGGAAAACTTGGACCCTGACATCACCCTCCGGTGGCTTCCAGCACCAGTCAGTGCAACCTTCTGCCAGAGAAATCGGTGCAAGAGGGCTTTTCTCTAACCCTCTACACCTTCGCTTCCACCACAGACATCTCCAGCTCTGGCAGATAGCCCTTCAGGACCTAATAAACCTGGGCAAGGACGGCAGCAGTGCCCCTGAAACCGAGAGCATCTCTGTAACAATTGTGGCTTTGCAGCCCTTCAGACACTTCCTCACGCGTTTCTTTTGCCCCGCTTTCACAATCGGTCCTCTCCAGACTGTGGTAGGCTGCTGTCATTACCCTCTGCTTCACGAACCCTCGCCGGGCTCACTGCTAATGTGATGGTTCTACCTCTTTGACTTTCCTGTCATTAGCCATTTTTCCCTATGACTTGTGGCTTTTTGTTTATCTCCCTCTCTGGAAATGAGACTCCCTGCAGCTGAATTCTCCATGGCCATGGCAGAAGTCCTTCACTTTCTGGTGCTGTGAACTGACATGGGAGAGAGGGCTCTGAAAATGGCTTGTGCACAGAAGAAAACCATCCCTCCACATAAAACGTGGTGAGAACCAGGCAAAGGGCTTGCTCTGAAAAGCCTCCTCTCGGTTACTGCTTGATTTTTAATTTGGGCTTGAGAGGAGCTAATGCTGGTATGAATGTGATCGTTCTCTGCTGGTTAGGCTTGTGCAGACAATGAAGTCTGGAGAAAGGAGGGTGATTTTCACGGACTCTTTTGGCTTTGCTGCTAAAGCACTGATATTTTTTTTTCCCCCTTTTATTTCTTTATTCATTGAGGGATGCTGCATAACTTATTCCAGGAGGATAATCTGAGCAAGGGCAACAAGCTGTTGGTAATCAAGTAAGCATTTTGGAGAAAGAATGACTCTGTGTTCAAGAACACGTTGGGATATTTCTTCCCTACAGCCCTGGATTGCAGCTCAGACAGGACCGTGGGTCAGGACCTCCACCTGCTTTTCGCTTGTGCTCTTCACGAAGAAAGCTAAGCTAGAACAAGGAGAAGGCACAGGATGGGGCCACTGGCTAGGGGCTTAGCTGTTGATCAGCGTCTATACTGCTGTAAATATTTGGGGGATGTTGCTTTGACCTTTGGGATGGTTGGTGCCTACACTATCACACCGCAAGACATAAACATGAGTAAATGCTTGTATTTAAGGAAAAACCCTTGCATCTCTGTTCTCCTTTATTTCTGGGGTGTTAAGCAATATCATGATGCCCTAAGGATTACAAATAATAATAGGGATTGTCCTTACGGGGATCTTCAGCTGAGGGACAGGGACAAATCAACATAGGTGAGTAACAGCCATAAGACCAGAGGGGGAACTAGGCTGCAGACTGAGGGCCCTTGGGCATAGCTTGAAGGACAGTTGCAGCAATGGCTGTGTGAAGCTCAGAGGGGAAGCAGACCTCCATCCCTTCGCCTAGGCTGGGCAGGCTGGCGTCCCTTCCAGCTCTGTATTTCAGCAAGTTGCTCAACGGGAGTGGGAAAGTCCCAGATACTGCGGGTTTGTGGTATCCCCATCATGTCCGCAGGGGCCAGGAGGAGTGGGGTGGCATTTCTGAGCCCCCTGGTATCCCTTCACCAGCCCATATTTCTCCCTCTTGCTTGCTTGAACTCCTCCACGTTCAGTGCGGGCGGCATCCCGGAGGCTGCTCACGGTGGATTTTTCGAATCGCCTTTCTGCCAGTACAGAGAAGATGCCGTGGCCTTCTCGTTGAATCACTAAATAGTAGCGTCTTCCCTTTGTGCATCCCTGGGGACACTGCCTCCAAGGTCCGTCAGAAAGTGAGTTAAAGCAGGGAGGGAGCTGCAGAACAGTCTCCTCTCCAGGGCAGAAGCTGACGTGGGCCCGTGAGCCACCCCGGGGTTGCCATCCGACTGGGCTTTTCCAGGAGCATCCTCCCACCAGCCCGGAACCGGGGCCGTACAGATTTTGAGGACTTTCTCAGCTTGCGTGTGTGTCAGCCATGACCACTGTGCATGTCCGGTGTGGTGGAGTAAGGAATTTCCAGGCACGCTTCAGTCTGGCTGGAGCAGCACGGGTGTGCCGTAGGACGACATGCAGAAGCTCTAACATCTTCCAGGAAGACTGGATGTACATGTAACGTGCTGGAGCTCCTGGAAAGCACCGGACAGGCCTTCTGGATGTGCATGGCCAGATGTTCTACACATGTGCGTTAAATGCAATACACCGTGGGGGTTGGTTTTACTACCTGTGTAATGGAAAGCACGTGGGTACGTTTCATGTCTGGAAGTGGAAACATAAGAACCCTCCAGAAGCTGAGGCTGATCCCTAGACGTTGACTTTATGCTGAAAACCTACCGCACCGAGACACCCGGCAGAACTGGGGAGCAGAAGAGATCGATCCCCAGCTTGCCAAAGCTCCGGGAAACTCCCCCTTTTCACATGCAGTGGGACTAATCACAGCTACTATTCCTGTGGTCCCCAGCTTGAGGATCATTGTGGTGTGAATAGGGGCTTGCCTTCCAAAGAATCATTTCTTTTTTCCTTGCGTTGAGAACATTAGCTCTGTAATTAGAAGGGGCAGCGCAAAAAACCATGTCCTGCCAGGCGGACCTCGGGCAGGAGGAGAACAGCACGTGCGGGTACTTGCAGTTTGCTACGCTGGAGCTGAAGAGCAGACCGTGGGTGATTCTGGTCACTAACCCTTACTGATTTCATGCCTCTCTCGTGTAACTGAAAGCTATTCTCAACCAGTCGGGACAGCAGATAAAAACAGGGGGGCTGATTAACTTCTAGCAAGGAGATTCAGGAGCTTCCAACCAGCTAACCCACTCGGGCTCTTAGAGGCAAAGCCTTCTCCATCTCAAAGGAAACTGGGCCTCACACGGATTTCCTATTCTCTTGGCCTAGCTTGCCTGGTGAGCCGGGATAATGTGCTGCTCAAGGCCTGTCCTGTGCTGCCTCTGACAATCTGGGTCAAAACTGCCTCTCCCACCCCCCAGTTTTAAGGGGAGGGGAGGTGGGCTGAGATCCCACGCTCCATCATCAGCCTATTCACAATTACTTGGGAGAGCAAGGCTACGAACCTGCCTGGCTTGCTCTGAGAGGTGAAGGCCTCCAAGGAGAATGCCCTAAGGAGACGTTTGTTAAAGATTAAACAGAGAGATCCTATAGAAAGGTGACCTGTGAACTGCTCAGAGACTCTCCGGGTAACACAAAGGGTAATGCACCGGAGGAGTTCACTCTGGCAGTCTCTTTTGCTCTGATCCTTGAGAGTGCTGCTGAAATTTGAATCTTGGCGGTTACAGGGGGTGATGATGCGATAGGTTTACTGTAGCTTTTAACTAACACATATGAAGGGGCGAGATGCTATATTGAGAGTGGGATTGCTCCGATGAAAGTGAACTGGTTGTAATTGTTGGGGATGCCAAAGCATCTTCTGCTAGTGAAGAACAAACGGCTGTAGACTCTTGGCCCCGTTCCACTCCCGATCATTATACTAATTAATTTTCCCACTGCCAGACACAGCGTTGTTCTTCACCTCCTGCGTGGCATGCAGGAGCGCCACGGAACGACGCGGTCAACTCTTGACATACCTCACGCCACCGGCGCCTGCCTTTGCAGCCTGAGCAAAGCGGTCACACGGAGGGAGAGTAACACCACTGCCGGATACTCAGGGCACAGCAAAGTGAAACCTAAACCCACAGCTCTTCTGGTTTTTATGAGTAAGATTTTATCAAGCTATCTCACGTAGGTATGAAGAAAACAAACAGCGTAAATCATAAAGTGACTCATTCCTGGAGGCCGAGTGCTTCCAGCCGGCCCTGAATGACTATTACACCATATACATTTCTCACACCTAGGTCAATTACCTGTGTTTCTAAGGGACCAACATCAGTTTGTAGAAGCCCAGCTTTAACCCTTACCTGTCTTATGCCTGTTTAAATTTCAGAGATATCGTAAGAAGGGACTTAGGAGCTAAATAAAAAAGAAATGAGAAAGGCTGCTTATCTTGCTTTTGTTATAAGAATAATACAGAGAGAAATGGAAGGTGCTGTGCTTAAAAAAATAAAACGTAGCACTACACTACCGACCGTTCATGCTGTGCATTGCGTGCTGCCAGGATCGTCTGTCAGATTTAGGTCCCAGGCCATGCAGCCATAGCCCTGTACAGCACAAGCCCGTACTGAACCCAGCTGGTGTCCTAAGGCTTAATGTCATCCGGGCTCTCCCAAGAGCAGGAGAGGACCCCGCGTGTCACCTGCCGTCCCAGACTGAGGATCTGCCCTAGCACCCGGGGCGGGACGCGCTCCCTCCGCGACCTCCACACCCGCCTGGGA